TCAGCAATGGGTATGTAGCACTTTCTCTAGGATGAGTTCATGAACTTAATTGTCAGCCTCATATGACAGCTCTGATGGTCATTCCAGAAAAAGAGCTCAAAATTGCTTTGCAGGATGGACTAGGCCAAGGCATTGGTGCATAGTTTCCCAAGGGGAGTACCTTGAGGGTGATATGTAGCACTTTTTCTAGGATGAGTTTGTAAACTTAATTGCCTGATCTCCTATAGTCTATCCTTGAGGATGATCTATTATTTGAGGAGAAGAATGTGAATTCTGTAGCTACTGAATGAAACTTTTGTAAATATCTATTAGGTCCATGTGGTCTTTAGTGCAAATTAAGTCCAATATTTCATTGTTGATTTCCTGTATGGACAATGCGTCCAATGCTGAAAGTAGAGTGTTGAGGTCTCCAAAGATCATTGTATTGGGGTCTATTCCTCTCTTTAGCTCTAATAAGATTTTCTTTATATATCTGGGTTTTCTAGTATTAGGTGCATATTATTTAGAATTGTTATATCTCTTTGGTAAATTCACCCCCTTATATAATGACCTTCCTTGTCTCTTCATGGTTTTTATCTTGAAATCCATTTTATCTGATAGAAGTATGGCTACTTCTCTTTATTGGTTTTCATTTGTATGGACTATCCTTTTCCATCCCTTTATTTTCAGTCTATATGTGTCTTTATAGGTGAGGTGTGTTTCTTGCAGACACCTTATAGTTGACTTTTTTTTTTTTTATCCCTTCAGCCACTCTATATCTCTTGAGTGGAGAATTAGTCCATTCACCTTTTACATTATTATTGGTAGGTAAGAACTTACTACTGCCATGTTATTTGATTTCTGGTAGTTTCATAGTCATCTCTTTCTTTCTTCTCCATTGTCTTCCTTTGTTAAAAGTGATTTTCTCTGTAGTGTGTTTTGACTTCTTGCTTTATATTTATTTATTTATTTATTTACTGTGGTTTTTGGCCGGGGCCAGGTTTGAACCAGCCAACTCTGGTATATGGAGCCGGTGCCCTACTCCTTTAAGCCACAGGTGCCGCCCCATCTTGCTTTTTTTTTTTTTGAGTATCTGTTGTAGGTTTTTTGATTTGAGGTTACTATGAGGCTTGCAAAAAAAAGTTTATAACCAATTATTTTAAACACACAACAACTCTGCTTACAAACAAATAAATAAGCAAAGAGAAATCTAAAACAAATGCTACCTTTTAACTCTATGCACAACCCCCCCCACACACTTTTTAAGTTTTGTTGTTTCTACCCATATTTTTTCATGCTATTTCTCTCTCAAAAAGGTGTTGTTATTATTTATTTATTTTAGAGACAGAGTGTCACTTTATCACCCTCAGTAGAGTGCTGTGGCATCACACAGCTCACAACAACCTCCAACTCCTGGGCTTAGGTGATTCTCTTGCCTCAGCCTCCCGAGTAGCTGGGACTACAGGTGCACGCCACAACACCCGGCTATTTTTTTGTTTCAGTTTGGCCCAGGCTGGGTTTGAACCTGCCACCCTCAGTATATTGGGCCGGCACCCTCCCCACTGAGGCCAGTGTTGGTAGCCACCTAGTGTTGTTATTTTTGATAGGTTTGATTTTTTAGTCTTCCTACTCAAGATATATGTGGTTTATACACCACACATGCAGCAATAGAGTATTCTGTACTTGTGTCCTTACTGTTACCAATGAGTTGTATGAGGGCTGTCCAGAAAGTATCCAGCTACTATTGATACTATTTTTCACATTACATGCCTGGACACCTCTCATATACCTTCAGATATCCTTTTTATTAATGTCCTTTTCTTTCCAACTGGCAAACTGCTTTTTAGCATTTCATGTAGGACGGGTCTAGTGTTGATGAAATCCCTCAGTTTATGTTTGTTTGGGAAAGTCTTTATTTCTCCTTTATGTATGAAGGATAGTTTTGCAGGATATAATATTCTAGGATTAAGGTTTTTTTCCTTTAATATTTGAGTATGTCATGTCACTCTCTCCTGGCCTGTAAAATTTCCACAGAGAAGTCTGCTGTAAGACATATTGAAGCTCCTGTATATCTTCCTTTCTTTCCTATTCCCTTTTCCCTTTTTCCTTTTCCTCTCTCCTCTCCTTTCTTTTCCTTTCCTTTCTTTTCTCCTGCTTCCCTTAGAACCTTTTCTTTATTTGTGACCTTTGGAAGCTTCATTATTTAATGCCTTGGGGTACACTTGTTTGGATAAAATCATTTTGATGTTCTATGACCTTTTTGCACCTGAATATTGTTATTTTTCTCTAGGCTTGGACATTTCTCTGTTGTAATTTCTTTGAACGAACTTTCTACCCCCAAATCTCTCTCTATACCTCCACTTTAAGGCAAATAACTCTTAGAATTGCTCTTTTTTCCTTTTGAGACCGAGTCTCTTTCTGTTGCTCTGGGTAGAGTGCCATGGTGTCATAGCTCACAGCAACCTCAAACTCTTGGGCTCAAGTGAGCCTCTTGCCTCAGCCTCCTAAGTAGCTGGGACTACAGGTACCCACCACAACACTTAGCTAATTTTTCTATTTTTAGTAGAGATGGGGTCTTGCTCTTACTCAGGCTGGTCTCAAACCTGTGAGCTCAGGCCATTTACCCACCTCAGCCTCCCAGAGTGCTAGGATTACAGGTGTGAGCCACTATACCCCACCAGATTTGCCCTTTCAATGCTATTTTCTAGATCTTGTAAACATGCTTTATTCTTATTCTTTTTTTCCCTATTTCTCTTTTGTGTATTTTCAAATAGCCTGTATTTAAGCTCACTCATTCTTTCTTCTACTTGGTCAATTATGCTATTGAGAGACTCTGAGGCATTTCTCAGTTTCTCAATTGAATTCTTAATTTCTGGAATATTTGCTTGATTTTAAAAATTTCAATCTTTTTGTTAAATTTCTCTGATAGGTTTCTGAATTCCTTCTGTGTTGTCTTGAAATTCACTGGGCTTCTTCCGGACAGCTATTTTGAATTCTTTGTCTGAAAATTCACATATCTCTATCATTCTAGGACCTGTCACTGTACCTTATTTAGTTCATTTGGTGAAGTCATGTCATCCTAGATGTTCCTAATGCTCATGGATGTTCATCAATGTCTGGGCACTTAAGAGTTAGGTATTTACTAAATCTTCACAGTCCAGGCTTCTTTGAACCCATCCTTCCTGAGAAGGCGTTCCAAATATTCAAAGGGAATTGAGTGCTGTGGTCTAAATCTTTGGTAGTGCAGCCATATCAACAATGGGGGTCCTCTAAGCTCAATAATGTGACTCTTGTAGACTCCTGATGGTACCACTTTGGTGAACTTAGGTAAGATACAAGAGAATTCCCTGGATTATCAGATAAAGTCTCTCTCTCTCTTACTCTCTTCCCTCACTTTCTGTGCTGGCCTGCTGGAGTTGGGAGAGGAGTGACGTGGGCACTCACACATGGCCACCAGCAACAGGTCACACCTGAAGCCAGCTCAGTCTTAACCAAAGCCAAGTGACTGCTGCCTGGCTATCTGTGATGTTTGTTCAAAGCCCAAGGACTATTTAGTCAGCAGGTGATGAATCCTCTCAAGGCTGGGTCTCTTTAAGGTAGCATGTTTCCTTCTGGACCAGGGTTGGTCCAAAAATGGCCATCCAGGAACTAAGGCTTGGACTCAGAGGCCTCAGGGGTCTGCTTGGTACTTTATTTTACTCAGCTGGTACTCAAGTTGGAAAGCAAAGTCCTTTGAGCTCTTCCCTTTTCTTTCCTCAAATGAAAGAAGATGACTCTCCTCGAGCCTTGGTGCCTGTAGCTGGGGAGTTGGGGGGAGGGAGTTAAACAGGAACTGGCTTGCCCTAATTGCTGATGTCTCACTGGATCATGTGCACCCCAAGTCCACTGGCTCCAAGCCAGCATAGCCACAGGAATTGCCCAAGAACTGCAGCCTTGTCACCTTACTGATTTGGTCCAGGCCCCAGGCTGCTCTTAGTCTGCTGGAACTCGAGGCAGAAGATTTCCCACTGGCTGGCCTGGTCCAAATGCTGCTCTATGAACACCAGCGGAGTTCACCCAGTCTGTGTTCCCCTGTGCCATAGCAGCTGTGAGTTTTAACTCAAAGTCCCATAATCACTTTACTGTCTTTCCTGGACACACAGATTCTGTTTCCACTGGCATGACACTGGTGGGAGCGAGGTGTCATAGGCAATGCAAGACTGTCTTTCTGCCCTTTTTAGTGCCTTTCTTTGATATAATGTTAAAACCAGGTCATATGAGGATTCACCTGATTTTTGGTTATTCTGAAAAGTGCTTGCTTATGTGGATAGTTGTTATATTAGGTGGTCATGGGAAGGGGTAATTGCTGGAGGTTTCTATTCGGCTATCTTGCTCCACCTCCTTTTAGGAATCCATATTTTTAATAGGCATCCTGGATTTGCCTGGCAGACACTAAAAACCTTTTAAGATGGCTCTAGGCTCTTAGAAATGCATTGGGCATTCTAAGAGCCTAGAGGTCCATTCAGGTCCAAAGTACATCATAATATTTACCAACAAGATATAAATAACTGCAAGATAATATGCACTGCAAACTAGAGCAAGCACAGTAGGACCATGGCTAACCACATGGGGTTCTCAAGAAGCCACAGAACAAGGCAGTAAAATCACCTCCTCCTTTCCACTCTTTGGGGTTTCCACAAACTTTCCAATTACTGAAATTTTTCCACATTCATTTTTATTTCTCCCTCATCTGCTCCTTTCACAAAGCTGTTTGGAGAACAAGGATGGGAAAGAAACTGTACACTGCCTTCACATCTACTATCTCTCACCTTCCTAAGATCCCCAGAGGATCTATCTTAAGAAGGGTATAGTTTCCTTCCTTCCTTTTATACATGGTGAAACTGAAGCTAGACAAGATAAATTTGAACTGCTCAAATTTGACCACTCAAGCAGTACCCAAGGCTTTGGAGCCACATTGCTAATCAATATGTCTTTTCAAAATATGCATCCCAATTCTCAATCCAAGAGGAAGAGTCACTTACTTGTAGGTTTTGGATCTATCCAGCCAGATGCCCGAAATCACAGCCCCAAGCATTCCTGCAATGATGATGGTCAGGCCAATTCTTCCAGCATTCACCTCTTCATCCTGGGAAAGGAAACCACAACCCCAAAGAACACCCAGCAATGGGACAAGACTGCAGAGTGCAGTCACTGTGGGGCAAAGAGGTGAAGGCAAGTAACTTGGGCTCCATTACAGCCAATATTCAGAAAGTATCAGGACAAAATGGCCTATATGAAAATGGCCCAGGAGAAAATTCTAGAATAGTTGCTTTTCCCAAAAATATAACCCTGGCTGTGTATGCATGATACTAGAAGCTGGCATGACAGGCATAAACCATATTCTGTCCTTAGAATCACTTTTAGCCAGATTTTGAAAAAAAAAAAATGCACCCTTAGGGCAACTCTTCTGTCTTATTTATCATTATTTCCATTTCTTACTCCTTCATTCTCATTATTCCCACTGATGGGGAAATTAAAATCAAAATATGTATGTCCAAATATTCTAGTCTTAGGTTTTTGGCTGTCCATTCCAAAAGGAATGGGAAAATAATATTTATATATTTTTGAGTGTTTACTATCAGCCAGGCACTAGGCCTAAGATTTTACATCATTATCTCATTTAATCCTCATATTTCCTATCATAAGATTAGGAAACAGTCTTCCCCATTTTATATATGAAAAACTGAGGCACAATGAGTCTAACCTTCTAGCCCAAGGTCACGAGGCATATATTAAATTCAAAGGATTGAACTCAGACCTATCCAACTCCAAAACTGGAACACTTAGCCACAATGGCCTACTACCTCTACAAATGTGAGATCCTAATCCTTTCAAAAGGAGGTTGGACTTAGGACACTCTGGGACACTCAGTATTTCATTCCCAGCATCCAGCCCTCACTGGTTTTGGAAATATTTCCAGAAATATGAGATATAAAAATACATGTACACACACGTGTTGCCAGGAACCCCATGCACAGACTTTATGTATATCATATATAATAAATATGGTATCGATGATATACATACACATTGATATTATTTACTACATTCTTAAATATAATTTTGCAAGAAGTAATTATGCTTCTTTTGCAAAAAAGAGAATGAGAACTCAAAAAATGCTAATTAGCTTGCCACATAGTCAAACCATCACACAGTTTAGTACCCCCCGAAGCTAGGGTTGAAACCCATGGTCAACTCCCTCCAAATCCCATAAGTACACCACCATTCCCCGGTGCCTAGAACTGGGGGGAAGAAGAGGGGAGCCAAGAGTTAACCATCACCCCAGCTCCTGCCAAGACAGACCTAGAAACAATACTATCTCCAGGCCCAGCATGCTTAGGGAGCTCCCTTACCGGGTAGTGCGAGATCACCATACGATTCAGCAGAGTGGACAAGGAATAAAAAGAACCAGCATTGAGACCTGAAGGAGGGAGGGAGAAATACAACATTAGGGTCTGCCTTCTCCTGGGGCCACTGCTGACTTTTCCCCCCACCTGAAGTTAGGAAGATCAGAAGTTCTCGTCCCTGCTTTCCACTCAATGTGATGTCCTAAAGAAGAAAAATACAAGGATGTATGAGGCTACTCTGCAGTTCTTCTCCAATAAATACCTAGAAACAACCAAAAGTAACCCTTTTCTTAACCACATACTGCTGCCCTCTGATCCCTTTGACCTGCCCTGGAAAACAAGCTGTGTAAGTAATACTCTTAGGCCAGAATCATCCACATTTCTTCTAATAAGCTTTGGCTGGATTATGGGTGGTCAGGAGGAGTACTGGACCCCCCCTTCCCTTCCCCCTTGGCACCGCATACTCTCTTTATTCTATGTCAGGCTTCTAACCCCTGACACTACCCCCTCTGCAGGTAGTTTCTCTCCATTCCTCCTCCAACTTTCTCTTCACACAAAATCTATTATGTGAAACTAGAAGAGACCCTAAAGAACATTTAGTTGACTCTCCTACTTTATCAACTCATTCATCAAATAAATGGAGCACCTAGAATATACTGTACAACGCTGTGTCCTTAGAGAATGAGGTCTGTTGCTGTAAAGGTCTCACAGAAAAGCAAAGTTGTGGAGAATAAGCACGCTTATTGAAATTGTGTTTTAAATAAAGGTGACCATCTGCTCGCTCAGGCAAAATGGTGAGCTTCTTTATTTGCAGTTGGCTTATATAGGGAATTTTGTACATGGGCACAATGCAGCAATGACCTCATTGAGCCATTTAAACATCATGTGACTTCCTCGTGATTAGCTTCTGATAATCCACTCAACATACACCTTTTGACATAACCCTCTCAACATAACCCAATTTAACATAACTTAATGGAGAACATGTTGTTAGCCATTATTTCTTTGTTCTTATGTGATGAAGCCTGAGGCTAGGGAGGACCAGGTAGATTGAATACCTGCCCTTGCTGGCCTTGCCGTTTGGAGGTTGTTACTTGGGATCTTTAAACTGTTGTGCCCGAAATTCCCCCAAGACTCCCCAGCAGACAGTCCGAAACACACTTTGATGTAAAAAGCAAGAGGTGAGCTTTATTCAAGCCCAGGCCTGGACTCTCCTGGCATGCAAGCCGAGGATGAGCCCCGAACCTGGGGTATGGAGGGTTTTTATAGGGTACAGAAAGCAAGAAGGGCTGTGGGGTTAGAGGGACTTCTGCCATTGGCCACTAGGTGGTTCAGTGGTCCAGGTAGGATTTGGATTGGTACAGGTTGAGGGGTGGGGGATTTCCTAACTGGGGGCCTGAGGTGGTGCAGCCTGATTGGATAGTTGAAGGGGAATACCTGAATTTCAAGGAAATTGAAACTTATTACCTATTATGGCAGCTATCTGCCTAAGGAGACTCAATCAACGGCTCAATGGCTGTGCAACCAGGGGTGGGGGAGGCAGCAGGGAGTGGCCCTGCGGTTTAACCAAGCTTATGCAGTAAACAACAAAATGGTGCTGGTCTGGCCCTCTCAAAACAAGGCATAAAGAAACTTCTTGGGCATACAGGAATTTGTGTGCAAACCTCTGCTCTAATGTAGGCCTTAAGTCAGGGGGGTTTTGCTGGAGCCTTTTATAAGGAATTCTCAGGCTGGACTTCTCAAAAGCCTTTTATGAGCCCAAGTTTCATCTGTGCCATTAGATACCTGTATGCATTGGGTAAATTCTTCTTCCTTTGAGGTCCCTTAGCACATTTCCATTCCCGGACCTGTCAGCAAGCGACCTTCATCACTTACCACAGATCAGGAAAGGTTACTGATGCATATCTGGCCAGTTTTCCAAAGGGCTTTTTCCCTGGCCTTATAAAGTCATCTTTAATTCCTTAACACAGTCTGGAAATGCTATTCCAGCCAAAGCCTTGGTCATGTTAGGCTCACAACCAATCTGGCCACATGGGATTCTGCCTCAGTTTCTTACAAGTATGCTTACACAAAGTCTTTTCATTGCTCTCTCTCAAATGGCTTTTTTGGCTAGAGGCATATAGGCGTTTTGCCTATAGAGGTCATTTATCCAAAGCTATACAGTGAGTTAGTAGCTGAGATGAGACTAGAACTGACCCAAAGGAGAAAAAGCCTCCTGCCCGCTCCTTCAATAATAATGATGGTGATGGTGATGGCGGCAGCAGCACATATCCACCTATTAGACACTGTTCTATAGAACTTACAGTCTTTCCAACAACCCTAGTAGGTAATCAGTATAATCCCCATTTTATGGATAAGAAAACTGCACATGGAGCTAAAAAATAAATCAGAAAACCAAATACAGTCATCCATAATGCCTACCAGGTGCCATTAAACTTTAACTAAACACTGAGGTTCACAGACTACCATTGGCACCCGTGAAGTTAGATTCACACCAAAGGGTCTAAAAGAGTACACACAGCTTGGGGGCAGGGATCCCTCAGGAGTCCCACAGAACCAGTCCATCCGGCCACCCAGAGGCTATTCTCCTGGGCCCCCAGATGATGGGGGTGTATAACTGGGGGTGTATAACAAAAGGTCTGTATGGCAACCACCCTGGTTTACTGCTTTGCAGGCACCACTATTGTTTGCAACAACTCCACAGGCATAGCTTCCAGAGTGTTCACAGGCAACAGGCCAGTGAAAGAGTCACTGTACTGCGGGACGCACAGAGAATTTCTTCTTACCAGATATGAATAGGTCTCCCTGCCCGTTTTTATCATAAGCAGTCATTATTATCATAAACAATATTGCATAAATGTATTTGATGTACTCCCTTTACCAGATTCCCAGGGGTACTAGATACAAAGTTAAGTGAAGGTCAAGTTCTCATGCAAAATGAGAAAGAATTTGCTATATGATCACACAGATATTAAGTTGTAGAGCTGGGTTAGAACCCAGGCCCTGTGACTCCAGATTCTTGATCTTAATCACTGTATTGGATAGCCTCACTGAGCTGATTCTCAAAACAAATATTTCCCCAACTCGGGTCACTGAAAAATTTTCCTATGCCCCAGGTCCCGCCAATAGGTCACCCCAGGGATTGCAACAAGGTTGGATTCAATGCAGACCCTGAGCAGCACAGGGCCACAGGGCACCTGCAAACTCAGGCATGTTACCAGATGTCACCAGGGCCATCAGTCTGATGACACTGAGATCTCAGCAAGTCCTGCTCAGTAAGCACACCTGTCTAACCTTCATACCACACACTTAGTCCCTGACAAATTTCATTCCCAAGTCAAGAGGGCCAGGAAGGAGACATGTCCCTAAAAAGGGAGGGTGAGGTGGAGCTAGGGACAGACGAGAAGAAAGAAAATAGCCTCCTTCCTCTTCCTGCTCCTCCCACCCCTCTCTAGGTCTCTTGTCCTAGCCTGGCACTACAACAGGCGAGGAATGTTCCAAGTCAGGCTCGGCTTCAGGTAGAACAGCTGCTCTCAGCTTGGGGCCCCAACTGGGATGAACAAGGAGAGCAGGATCCACAGGAAACAGAGGAAAAGCATCCAGAGGGACTGGGGGCACAAAATACACCAGCACCTTCATGACCCTAGGAAAGGCCTAGGGGATGGAGTCCTGAGCAGTCTGATGATGTCCTACTAAAGCTGAGTGGTTTTTCTGGGGCTTGGTGGTTTAGTGAAATAGTTTCCAAATGTGGTCTGTCTCACCCCAGACCTACTGCAGCAGAGACACCCCCCTGCCCCCAGCAATCTGTGTTTAAATAAGCCCTCCAGGTGGTTTTCTGAGAGTGATCAAGTTGGAAGTGCTGGCTCAGCTCCACCAGCACGGTTCCCCAACAGCCATTCCCCCTGCCAGCCAGACAGGGGAATGGAGGGGACAAGGAAGGGAGGAGGGGGACAGGTTCACCCTGCAAGGCAGCCAACATTTTCCATTGTTTCTGCAGTCCCACCCTACAAGGAATTAGGAACATAATGTGTATTTTCTGAGTCATTATCAGCCTACAGGTCCCCTCTCCACATTATCAAAGGTTGCCAGGCATGGTCATCCAGCACAAGTCCCCTCCACTGCCCAAATCAAGAGCATCCCACATGGAAGACCCTGTGTATGAGCACGTCCTTCAGGAATACGAGTGACCATGTTATATTCAGGTTCTGAGTAGCCTGGGTGAGGTGAGCCTGCTGGGTTGTTATCTGGTGAAGAGGGTCTGGCCGCCTATCCCTATATGCCAAATGCAGAGATGGAGATTAGGTTCAGTAAGCTATATTATTATCAGAAGGCCAGCAATTCTGGAGAACAGTGAGAGTGCAATTCTGGAGAACAGTGAGAGTAGCCTCTCCAAGACTGTCCTGCCCTTCCATTTCCAAAACCATAGCGTTATATGTAAAAGTTGAAAAGATTAACCCTTATCTTAATAATAAATAGTAATCAGCATAACCCATGACCTATTACAACATTTCCAATTCAAAGGCTAATCTCCTAAATCAAGTGCCCCAAACTATTCAAGATATACATTTTTAGGTTGAAGCTAAAGTACAAAACGCAAGAATGGAAGACATGAGGTGAAGGTCTCATAGGATCTACACTGAGCAGACTAGCTATTTCCATCTTATTATCACTACATGGACTCTCAGGGTCGAAGAAAAATACGATCTCCCTTGCACATCCTGGTTATTTCTGGTATCAGTCACTTGGGAGAAGTACCAGATGCTGAGGAGGGAGGCTTAGGAAGACAGAAAGGGGTCTGATGTTACCACGAGTATCTTCCCTTTGTCAAGAATAATTGTTTTTCCAACAGTGGTCAAGAGACTACTGATGTTAGAATTCCTTAAAGTTTAAAAATGCAGATTTTAGGGCTCCACCCTAGCCCTACCCTACTGAATAAGAATCTCCTGGAATGGGCTCAGGAATCTCCATTTTCAGCAACAACAAAAATTGCAGGCATTTCTTAAAATCTCTGGAATTTGGGAATAAATGGACTAGGGAATACAGAAGATCAAAGACCAGCCCCAAGCGGGGTTAG